AAGCCGTATATTCGTTTCGTGCCCGGTCTATTAAGTTAGGTATCGGCATTGCAAAAAAAAAAAAAAAAAAAAAACAGACCCGAATCTGATAGCCTGTAAACGATAAAAAGTAGCGTCTAATCTCTTTCTTTCTTCTTTCTTCTGTGCGTATGAGCGGAGAATACAAAAGAGGGAGGAGTGCAACTGAAAAGCAAAAGGGGAAAAAAGAAAGTAGAAAGAATTGAATACAAAGAAATAGCTTCCCGGTCGAAGGCTTCGCATCCACACCGAAAATAGTTAAAAAAGGTGTAAAAAAGATAAAAAGAAAATAGGACAAACCAAAGATCTCTAATAAGTACCTGTCTCACCGTGCAGCCAGGATTATCACACAAAACAGAAACGCCAATTTGTACAAGGAAATGTGTCGTGCTGAGTGTCTGTCAGCGTTAAGAGCCAAGTGACAGGCCCTGGAATCGACTAGTCCAGTCACTGGCGGCTGGAGGCATGCGAGGAGAGGCTGCATAGTCCACGAATCCCGTCTCTATCGGGCCGTAGGCTGTAGGTCCATAGGCCGAAAACGGATCGGGTTGGCCTTGCATGCCGAATCCACCAAGGCCAGCTTCGGGATGGCGAGGGGCCTGGCCGAATGACTGATAGGTATCTGCGTAAGGGTTGCGCAGCATTTCGTTTGCGAAATCTCGACCATTGCCGTAAGGGCGGGCGTCATGCTGATGACGCCGGTCTGACTGCGACTCTTGGTACAGGGGGTTGCTCATGGCACCGGAAGAGGGCAAGCCAACGCCAGGCGGAGTAGCAAACGACGCAGGGTTGATGGCGGACATCCAGATTCTGGTCTTGTAGATCTTGAAAAGATCAGTCACAAGCGAGTTGAAGTTGATGTATGAGTCCGCAAAGTAATAAAAAGTAAGCTTCTTCCAGTCCCTGTTTCCTATTAGCAATTCAAAACGTGAAATAAGGGACGATTGAATAAACACTCACATCTGGAACTCAGCATCCAAAATCTCCATATTGAGACGGTGCTCTACAACTTTCTGCTGGCAGACCCGTTTGGCCTTCGCCTCGTTACCTTCCTTATCGCGAAGCGTCAAAATCTCATGGTTCTGAGCCAGTCTCTTAATCAATTTCGGCTTAATGTCAGCAGGCGCCTCCTGTGGGCCACCGTGGGAGCCATGAGGACCCATGCCACCGATAGCGCTTCTGCCATTCAAACCGGGAATGTTTCCAGACGGATCAACAACGTTGGTACCACCATTCTGGCCCTGGCGAGAGAACATCATCAACCACTTGTAGTGTTCTTCCGCGTACTGCTGCTTGAGCTCACGGGCTTTTTGTAGCGAAACGTTGGCGTGCTGGATGGTTCCTAGGTCCATGCCTCGATCCGCTTCGACAATAACCAGATCGCCCGGCTTCACCTGAAGGCCGGTGTCTTCCTGGATGTAGAAAACATCCGCGCGGTGACACTTGAAGGTCACGATGTAGAGAAGCTGGTTCTGGTGGAAATGCGCAAGAGGGGGCTGGTGGCGGCCATAGCCATGGTGGGGGAGGGAATAGGTCGAGTGCAGAGACGTAGGGAGACGCGCCTCGTCGGCCATGCGAAGGCTTTGCTCGTGGGAGAAGTACGAAGCTGCAAATTGACGGGCTTGTAAATGAATTTGTTCCAATCTCATTTCCTCCAACTCCTCGGGATTCAAATAAGGGACCATCTGGGAAGAGCTTTGGTGGTACTCACGGGTCTGTCCTGGGGCATTCCCAAGGGGTCCATCAGCGATATGAGGGTGTTCGTCCTCCAGGTCTCCCAATCCAGTCCTAAAGTTGACGGGAGCCTGCGAATCACCGGCAGCGGAACTGATGGAGGTGTGTCGCATGGGAATATCCGCAAAGGAGTGACGGCGACTCTGGGGTATCTCTGGGATACTGTCAAAACCAAGGGAAGTCTGCCAATGAGCCTTTCGAACATTATCTAGGGCGCGGTTTTCCAAGGGAGCAAGCCCTGAAAATTGCTTTTCCAGATTAGCAGAATGTTCGGAGAAGCGCCTCTTCGGGCCACCGAGATTGTTGTTGTATCCATGAATGCTGCGGAGCTCATCCAGGTCGTGGACGTCTAGATCTGTCTCTTCGGGCACACTTCCGCGAATAGCATGCAAGTTACGAGGCGCGCCACCAACCGCGTAGCCACCGTTTGCAGACGCAGTTGATCCGCGACGGTCCCTCATACTGTTATCTATAGCCGCCTGGCGCAAAAGGGCGTTCTCCCTGGAGAGCTGCTCAATGGTGCGCGCTTGGTTGACAGTATAGTTCATGCTGCCATCAGAGCCGTTGGCGCTACCCTCCTCATCATCTTCATCTTCACGCACACGGTCAAGCGTCGCAGGGTCGTGACCCAACTCTCCAAGAAGGCTGGGGCGCGATGAACGATGCTGCAAGGCGGACAGCTGGTTAACACTATTGCGAGGGCGCGCATTGGGGTATGGAGCCTGCGCTGCTCCCGAATTGCTGGCCATCTGGGTTAGAAACTCGGGGTCCAATTGGCCCACTGAGTACGATTGAGACCGATAAGTCTTGGGAGTCGGATGAAGAGGAATGGAAAATGGGATACCCGCGTCCCCAGACGAAGTACGGGCGGTCGGGCTCAGTAGCTCCTCTGCGAGATAAGTATTCGAAGTAGTGGGGGACGGAACAATCTCTGAGAGGCGAGGAGGTGGCTCTTTTCGAGAATCCGAATTCCAAATACCCGTACCCCATGGGAATGAGCTACTTCCAACGTGGTTCCACGCGATCGAGCCACCCAAACCCGGACTCGTGCTCCACACAGCCTGATCAGTTGCGGGGCTAGTCGGGTTGGAAGTTCCCGATGATAGAGGGGCAGTAGTTGTCAAAGAAGACTTGCGGGTAACGTGTACAGGGACTTCGTTCAACCAGGACGTGCGGCGACCGGGCTTGGGAATGGACACAGAGGAGGTCGGGGGCTGCGTCTGCTGAGAGTGGTCCCCATCATCGTCTGAAGATGCCAGAGCGTCTGAATCGGGGGTTGAACGACGAACGCCGGGATGGGCCTTTTCGAGACGAGCTGTCGCATTGGTGGACGAAGTTGGTGAGGTAGTGGATTTTGGCGCCTGTACAGGCTTGCTGGATGGGGCAGCCATGATGTGACGAGCGAATAAGAATCAGATCCTGATTGCAGCAGATACCGCCATTAGCAAGTGGATTGGATGAGGGGTCAACTGAATAAAGCATGGAGAATCCGCAGGCACTAGAAGTGGTGGGCTAGTTGTTTGGCGACCAGGACTAGGTCATACAGCTGTCGTAGTCAAAGTCCACAGCAGGAAATGTATACAAAAGTAGAATAAATGAAAGAGAATAAAACGCATAGAAGAAAGCATCAAATTTAAGAAAATCAGTGTGAACTCACCTTGAATTCTTTTCGTCCTATCTTCGGAGGATGTTGACGTCAGAACATGAAAAAGTGGAAAAGTATGGGGAACTGCCAAAATGTGGAAGAGAGTGAGTGATGTTTGTTCTCAGGCCAAATGTGGAGAAAAATAGCACCACAACAGACATTCACTGCTGATCAGGCTGCAGAGTTAATGCCCCAAAACAAAAACAGAAAGCAAACAGATTAAAGACGAGGTATATTGGGCCACAAAGCGCTGGTTCTAACATGCAAAGACAAGGGTCAGGAGAGCTTTCGCATATGGTGCCAGTTCAAAGCATAGAATAGTAGGGTATCAGTATATAGTGGAATTGGACGCATAGATGTAAAGAGACGGTGAAAACTGGCGTGGCAATGAGGGCGCTGGAGAGATAAAACTATACAACCATGCCACCACATTGTGGCGAACATGCGCCCCTCAATGAAAGTGACTTTGGACCAGGCAGACAGGGGAAGAAAGGATGGGTAAACTGGGTAGCTTTCCCTTTTATGTCGTACCAAAGGGAAGAAAGAAATGGGAAAACCGCCCGGGTTCTTTCATTGGTAGACTGGTTCCATGGATGCAATCAAGCGGCAATGCAAATTGAATGAACAGATGCAATGATATGAAAGGAATGCCAGATATAATACAAAGAAGGAAAACGAATTATACATACCTGAGTTGATACAAAAAGGCGCGCCGAATAGGTTGTCAGATAGACAACCAAGAGTGTACAAAGATAGAGATGGTATCACGGGTGTTCCCGAACAAACGTAGAGCAGTATAGTAATAATGTAGGTTCGTAATCGCGTCTATATTAGCATATCCCAATCGGTCAGTTGTCTGTCGTCGGTAGATCTACCCTCGAATACCCTCAGGAGACTCACCAGTCTAAATGAAACTTTTATTAGATCTATATCCCAAGTAGTCGCAAAAGAGAAAAAAGTTCGTCGTTTCCCGTAAAAATTGCAAGAAGGATTCGAGTTAAAAGAAGCGACCAGGCTTCCGTTCTGAGAGAGATATTTGAGGTAGTGGTTGGCGCGTGAGAGACACGAGATGGGATGAATTGGTGATAGAGACCGGACCGGATTGTTTTCGATGATCGTCTTTAAATCGTATTGAATAATCAGTAAATACCAATCGTCTACCGTCCTATCCCATTCGACCAAGACAAGTAGAGAAGTAATCTATCCAGTTCGACTATGCGCCGTATTGTAGTCGGATTTGTAGAGAACGGATAGCGTGACCACGGGGATGTTTAGATGACGTTGAGAAGATATTGGACTTGGTGGTCTGATCAATGGGACGAGGGTCAACCCTCAAAAGCAACGCATCTTGAGATGCAAACAATCTAAGAGAAAAGGAAAAGAAAAGGTCAAGAGCGGCAGTAGAAGTAAAAGAAGACAAATAAGAAGATGGAAAGAGACCGTCGACGGAGGAAAAGTGATCTTGTTGAGAAGGAGTGCGGAGTTGGAGTGAGCGGCGGCGCAGCAGCTCTTTCGCTGGATCCGATCGGGAGTGGTGGTTGGGTAGTACTGGTACTGTATGTAACCGTACTCCGTACTTGCAGACGATGAAAATCCGTTAATGGAGAACGGGAGGAGTGTGGCTTATAAGTATAAAAGCTGAAAAAAGTCGACGAAGACGTTGTACGGGACAAGAGTTCGTTCACAGAGACACAACGAGCCACGGGTCAAGCGAGGCAAAAGTAGTTAGAACTTGAGTTACTGTTCTCTTGTACAATACAGACACTGAGAGTTGTTAGAAGAACAGAGACTTATATGTCGAATTCTGCAGGTAATTTGTTAAATAATCATTCTCTGGTCTGTGAATGAACGTCATGCCATCGGTCTGTACTTTTGCCTCCTTACTACCACTAGCTCCATGCACTTAGTACCACCGTGTACCACTCCGTATCCGTACCGTATGTGACCGTATATTACCAAATTGCGGGGAAAGCTCTAGTGTAGCTGACTCATCAGCCCAGCCCAGTCCAGCCTTTTTCCTTTACATTCCTTTACATCTTTTTGGCCGATATGGAATACTAGTCCATTTATTGGATACAGTCGAGATACATTATCCCCCAATTGCAATGAATCCGAATATAACCTCGTGATAGTCGCCATTGCGGACCCACGGTTACCAGCTTGTTGCTTTCTGTATCGGAGTACTATGGGACTAGTAGCACGGGATCTACCCAGGACGCTTGTAACGTTGATAGCCACTGTCCACGGATCGCCCCGGGCAAGCAGTTGTGACGTTGTGTGGACAAGTCGCATTGGCTCAAGAGGCGGGGGAAAAAGACTCTTTGGAACGACTCCGGTTGATGTATCAATGAACCCTGGTTTTAATGCACGCGATTATAAGGATTGTTTGCTATCAGAGCTGGTTCCAAGTCTCTTTTGATTTACCCTTACCCCTCTTCTCTGCACCGGTTCTTCATGCACTCCCCGGCGAATGGCCCGCGCTCCGGCATTCCATGCACATAATACAAGTAGCATAACTGGGTATGACAGTCGATTCCTTCAGTATAGTACAACTGGTCTGGTGATTTTTCTATCTGATTAAACAAAAATCTCACGTGGTATATATTCTTCATATGAAAAAAAAAAAAAAAAAAAAGAAGAGTAAATCAAGCAACCGTGTCCAAACTACCCTTGCCTACTGTACCCGCAGTCGCCTCCGCCCCCTTCTGCTGGCGCAGCTTCTCCTCAAACCGCGCAAATTCATGCATAGAAATCTCTTCCTCCTGATCCATGACCTGCTCAACACCCTGGACCTCCTCGATCTGCAATCTGTTAGCCTGAATCCATCCATATCCGTCGGGAAGCAAACATACGTAGTGCATAAGCATCGACTCAATGCCATTCTTCAAAGTCACTGTGCTCGAGTCGCACGTCCGGCATGCACCCCGCAACTTCAGCATGACGATGCCATTCTCAAATCCCCGGAGCTCAATATCACCTCCGTCTTCCTGGATCGCAGGTCGAATTCGGGTCTCCAAAAGCTCCTTAATCATGCTGACAACCTCTTCTTCATCCTCATTGTAGGCCAGCGACTCCTCGCCACCGCCTTCTTGACCTTGTTCAGCAGCGCTCTTTTCTATAGTGTTGACGATCGGATCGCCGGATGTCACGGTTTGTGTGATCATGCTAAATACTTCCGGCTTGATGTGTGCCCAGTTCGCATCGCTCGCCTTGGTCACTGTGATAAAGTCGCTTCCATAGAAGACGGACGAGACACCATCAACGTTCAGCAAATGCGCCGCCAGCGGGGAGGGGTGAGGAGGCGCAACCGTCGACCGAGGGGAGAGGTATTCGATAAATGTAGTGGGGAAACCTTCGGGAAGAATGGGGTGGTTGGGAATGAATTTCAATGCCTAACAGTCATGGATTAGCAAAATTTCTCATAGTTTGGATCAAAACTGACAACTTACATCCGGGTTAGGTGTGTTCTCCGTCTGGATAAAGATGGTGCGCTTGCTAGCCGGCGAGGGCCCGTTAACCCGGGAATGAGCAGCAGGCTGGTGACGAGGACGCAGCGCCGGTCTGCGTCGAGTCTCAGAGGAAGTCATCGCTGGCAATCGTGCCGATTGATGAACGGCTCTGTAGGAACCCAATGCAGGGCTTCTAACCGACCGAGAAGTCACCTCTGCAGCGTTCCACGGGGCCGCCAGTCTGGTGCTGAAGATTGTCCGCCTGAGCATGATTCCAGATGCTGAGCTCACTGACATCTTGATTGTATTAGATCAATGTGCAAAACACCAATGTTGACAAAGTAGTTGTTTTGAGGCGAGAGTTGGATGGGTTCAGGATATTTTTTGCCCGGTCCGGACTCTGACGCAATAAATCACACGTGAGTGGCTATTCCGCGGGAATCGATGCTGACAAATGCGCACGCCAATCAGATCAATGCTATTTACTACTGCCAGCGAGTCGAGTTCAATCCAACCTCGAACTCGGTTTTCACCTCGTTTATGAACTCATTTGAGAACTTGTGAGTTCTCGCTAGCAGCCCGGAGTAATAATGTCACCGTTGAGAAATCGGATCCCCTAATATCCCTTCTTACTCTCAGATGGGCAGCACAACCCATTACACTTTTGTGTCTGTCACAGGCTGCGCGCTGCGCCTGTAGAATAAACGATATGCTAGTCGGAGGAATGATCGGAGTGGTTACTTGACTACTACCCCGCATGATGTACTTTTGTATATAAAAGGCTTGTCCGATGGGACATCCGTTCTTCTCTCCTTCAACGAAACCTCTTGTATGATAGTTATTAGCGCTGCGGGCTTAGCCCCTAACAGTGTCTTCAATTTCTTCCATTGATTTTTCATTGTGATAAATTGAAGCCATTCAATAACCATTACCCAATAAAGCAATGAATGTCCGACCAACTCCCTATTTGATCAGAATTGATCTCGGGTCCTCCGATCTTCGCACCCTGGCCAAGAGAAATAATATATAGCAGTAGATAGATCCATTCATGAAAAAGCCAGAATAACTCCATAGAACCGAACCATTCCCACCTCAATCAAGTGACTACGAAAGTGATGCAGATATGGATTTCGAGTACGAGACTGATGCTTTCTTCTGGGGAAAAGAAGATAGGTAGGCCGATCAGATCCTAAGTGAATATGAGAGTTTCCACCGCTACATTAACGCCTAATTTGCGCCAGAACAACAGTGCCTTAATCAGTGGAAAAGGTTCGTACACCCAAACTCAAGACACTCTCTGCCTACTTCAAAGTCACTCCCTACGACCGGGCTCACCAGTTTCGCCGGCGCTAGTACAATTACCTTATCCGCACACCTTGGCCACAAGACATCACCAAATGGTTAATTGGGTGGGAGTCATTTCTCGACGAAGTGCATGACGCGGGAGAGTCTTCACTGAGGCAAAACTTGGGAGTTGCATTGGTTTAGCAAATATCTATGATGAGTGTTGGTTGACTAGGGGGTACAGTACCTAGATCTAGGCCAACTATTATCACTCTAATGATAAAGTATACTATAAAGGTGGTCATAGCATCCCAAACCTATTGTTCTCTGGGTTATGTACAGATACTTGGTATAGACGACTCTCCCGACAAATGACATATTTCGATATATAGGAAAAGAAAGAAAAACACAATTAACAAGGACCAAACTGATTGGCAGCTTATCCGCTCATAGTTTGGAGAATACCGGTGTCCGTCACGCACAAGCTATGTGGAGCTAACCCGGTTTAGATACTGAGTGCGAGCTGCCAATCCCCATCTCCACCCACGCCAACACCATGTATAAAACCAGCCAGCCACTCCAGACGCCTACCAAAACAACTTCAATCCCCGTTAAGTCCCATTAAGTAAACACGGAAGGTGCACTCACTACCCGTCACTTCCTGTTAACATCACTCAACAACCTGCTCGAGCGGAGTAGGCGATCTCCTCTTCTGCGACAACCGATACTGCGGCCATACCATATCCTTCAGAAACACGCCGATCGCGAACCCCACCTGCGGTAGATGCATAAATACTGCCTGGCACCATTTTATCTTCTCGCTCGACTGCTCGACTTGGAAGAATTGTGTGCTTTGGCTTAAGGGTGCTAGAAGCATTTGTCCGCCTAATGCTTTCATGTTCGGTTGCAGGCAGTATGCTGCGGCGCGGCAGACTTCTGTCGCATAGACGGCGGTTAGGGCGATGAAGTCGACTCGGTCCAGTGTCTCGGTTGACGGAGAGGTTGAGATTTCGGCTGATTCGATGGACGGATAACATGATGTGGAGGCAGGGCTTCCGGATTGACTAAGACCAGGGCTGAGAAAGTCGAACAGTTGGTTGATCAAGGGGTAAAGCAAAACGAGAGTTGTCCAATATATCAGGTGCGATTCGGCACAGGTGAGCGATGGGAAGTTGAGAGGCTGAGGAAAGAAGTCTTTGGGGACGGCGGTTCTGAATGTTTTCAGAATACTAGAATCTTTCGAAAGCGGAGATGGTACTCCAAGTTTGTCCTGCATCCAGATGCAAGTATTGTGCAGCTTGTCCTCGAGCGACAGACACGAGTGCAACAAGCGTTCCCCTACTCTTCGAGAGCCTCTAACTAAATACCCATGGTCGAGGAAAGTGTCTACATCCTCAATGAGAGCTGTGCATTCGATCAATATGTCGATGAATATATCGATGGGTTCGGGTGCAAGCGCGTTCTTGTCCCCCGGCTCACTAGACCTAGTCGGAATGTTATAGCGCCATGGGGATTGTCGTTTCCCAATCGCATCGCACAGCTACAACGATCAGCCATCGACCCGCAAACACAGATATAACAATTCTCACAATGACAAATCTGAGCTGACGGAGGAATAGGTTTTCGGCAACGGCTTCCTTACTTCGCCCGCTGCATTGCTGTATCAAAGCGTTACTTCCCTGGACATGCGCCAGCCATGCAGGGAATCCAGATGGAGAGCAATTGATCAACTGGTTTACACATTAGTGGCCAACCCTTACCGAGAACCCGGGTACGTGCCACTTACTTCATATACCTGAAAAATGATTGTGGTATATAGAAGGTCCTTTCCCAATCCCTTGCCCATCCTGATCTTCCTATGGAGGAGTTCCATTGCTTGGCTATAAAGCTTGGTGCTGTACTGCAGTAACCGGTCATCACGGTTGTTCTTTGCGACGAACGCCGACGAAAGCGAAATGACTGCCTTATCCAGGAGCGGACTGCCTCCGATGAGATCTGGAAGAGTCTCATAGAGATTTTTATTCGTCTTTAACAATTGCGCAGGGGGCAGGAAGTTGTTGATGAAAGACGCCAACAATTGAGATCGGACCTCGAGGCGGGCATTGAATCGAGGGACCTGCTCCGCAAGATTGACCGCAATTATTGCTCCAGCAGGCCTGTTACTTTTTGCGGCGTCCTTTCTTTTTGGTCGCTGGGCTTTTTGCGAATTATTGACCGCAGAGGCAGACTTGTGGATGAAGACCCTCTGTCTTTCATAACCGGTGCAGATATGGCCATTCTTGACGCACCGAAGACATTCGGGCTTGGTTTCGTCGCACTGCACATCTCGGCAGCGTTATCAGCGCATCTTCAAGGCTGGAATCGTCGCATATAAATACGTAGTCCAGAGAGCAGCTCACCTTGACTTTCCTCCGCCGGCAGGTATTACACCCGGTTGATTTGAACGGAATACCACCCATGATTCGAATGGTGAAGATCAATCATTGTTCCACGCCCCATGAAATCATGTCAAGAAAGCCAGACATCACTCAATTGATCTCTGTCGCTGTATACCTTACCCCGTAGTTCCCCTCTACCTCGATTGGCGAGTGGTGGCAAACGTTTACAATATTTCACGTGACATAATCGCAAGGATTCCTCTTTTGGGCGGGAGCCGAGATCTGGACCTTGAGTTTCTTTCTTTTCTTTTCTTTTTTTTTTTTTTTTTTT